GGGGGGGGGGCGAAAAAAAAATTTCTGCCCCGGGCGCCCAGAACTCTGGTTACGCCACTGCACCCACCCACTGCCTGCTGTCAATCAGCAGAGGAACCACCTGAAGGGGAGGCACAGTGGTTGACAGTGGTCTCTCCTCCCCACTGGGAGCCGGCTGCCGTGGCATGGGTCCCCTCTGATCCCCACAGAGCAACGGGGAGTGAAGGGAACACAGACCGCAGCCGGCTCCCAGTGAGGGGGAGAGCAGAGCTGATGCGGAGGAGGCTGACAAAAGCCCAGGCGCCGGTACACAATTTCTAGTCACCACTGTGATCTGGCCCTTTGGATTTGTCGAATCTTGCTTTAACAGAGGGCTTTAAGGGTGGACTAAATCATTTCAGATAATTGTGTGTATTTTTATTTGACAAGCTTCTGATAAAGTTATAGTAACGTGAAGTTGAGATGCTGATTAATGTGGAGTCTTAAGCCCATTTTTGTCCAATCTAGGCAATTTTCTGTTTGTTAGTGGATTAAAAATCTACAGGTTTAAAGGAGAACTATGAGATGAGTGATTTCCACTCCCCTCATAGTTCTAGATGACCTGTGACAATGAGACTGTCACAGGTCGGCTCAGTAGATCGGGAGGTGAGCGAACACATACCAGGATTCCCCTCTCCCCGCTCCGATCTGCCAGCGCTGACTGTCGGAACGAACGGGGGAGGGTGCGGGTACAGCTGGCTCTGCCTCTAGATAGGCAGAGCCAGCTGTCACTCACGCAGCTGGGCGGATCCCGTCATCTACGTCGGGTTCCGCTCCGGCTGCGGCGTCTCAGTATACTGCGAGCTGTAGCTCGCGGTATACTGAGCTTAGGGTAACGGGAGGACGCTAGTTTGTGTCCTCCCGTTACCCTAAGGAGAACTATGGGGAAAAACGCTGACCCCATAGTTCTCCTTTAATTTTAGTTCTTCACTGTACAGTTTATTGTGATATTTAATCTTTTAATTTTTGCTGTTTCAACAGAAAGGTTAAGTATTTTAACCTGAAGGCCAGTTTTGTTAATGAGCATACAGTGCATGGATTAACTAGCACTGGAAAAGAGGTATGTTTCTCAGAGGGACAAGTGTTTCTGAATGTTTTATTTGTGTATGCAATGTAGTTTAGGGCATCCTAATGTGAATATTCTCTAACTATTAGCTGTATACAGATCCCAGTATTAGTACAGCCCAAAGCCCGAACTAATGTTTTCTTCACATGACTCTGAAAGCTATATTAGAACTTCACACAGGCTTGCTGCAAATACATAAAATATCTGACACCATTAACAGATTGACTAGTTTAGTGTTTGGTGAATGCAGGTTCTTGAGAGCCCCCAGCTTCTTACGTTTCTCAATGAATCTGCTAATCTGGATTTCCCGACATCCAGGTGGCTGCAGAGTAGAAATTTGGACACACTGGTATATAGTTTAGAAGGTTTTATTTTTGGGTTTGCATTTACAAGGGTTTATACACAGTACTGATTCCAGTCTGTGTGGTCTTTGTGCCTATTAACATGGCATCATTGTATAATACGCCTAATGTGCACGTTATGCACATTCATTTATTGCAGTCATGTGATTTTTGGAAAAAAAGTAAGCACACCCCATGGAAATTGTGGATTGTTGTAACATATTTAAACAGGCAAACATCCGATCTTTATGTCTACAGATAAAGGTGATATACTTGAACAAATGACACTAAACTGGCAAGGGTAAAATTATTCTTGTAATCTAAATTGACAAAAAGGCAGGTTTGTCACATGGGAAAACAGTACGTTCACCCTTATATTTACCCCCACTTCAAAACCATGAAATTAGAATGCAGTGTTCCAGATTTGGTGGTAATGATTAGATTCATAATAAGGAGTATGCAGGTGGAACTTGTCTTAAAAAAGCTCAAATATGTAGGGTCTGATGTGCTGTTTGATATTGACGTTTGTGGCATCATCTTGCGAAGAACAAACAGACTTTCTAAGATTCTCAGAAAAAAAAGGTTGTGGATGCCTCGGAGTCTGATAAAGATTTTTTCTTTTTTCGAAAACGTGCCAAATTATTTGCAATCAGTAATTGCAGTGAAAGGAAAATAATCTAAGTGGCATAGATTTCAAACAACTGCTGGACAGCCCAGCAAATTCAGCCCAAGAGCTGACTATTTACTACTAAAAGAAGTCTCCAAAAAAACACAAATTTAAATGCAGGATTTGCAGTTAGCACTTTTTGCAATTAGTGTCCAAGTGCATGCATTTACAATCTGAAACACACTGCGCCAATGTAACCTGCACGGGAAGTGTGCCAGGAAAAAGCCAAGCTGTCTAAAAAGAGCATCATTAGAGCAAGACTACAGTCTCCCATTAAACAGACTAGGCCTTGTGGAACAATGTGCTCTGGCCTGGTGTACAGCAGAAATCTGATCCCATTGAAATGTTGTGGGAGGCCATCATATGGGTAGTTCATGCATAGAAACCCTCAAACATGTTAAAATTTAAGGAATTTTGCATTGAGGCGTGGTCAAAATGTCACTGAATGGATGTCAGAGATTGGTAGGTAGGTATGCCAAACACCTGCAAAACCTAATTTCTGGTGAAGGGGGCAGCACCAGCTTTTAAGACCAAGCATGTGCTCACTTTTTCCATTCTACAGCATTACATCAATTCATATTGCTATTGAGTAAATAATTCAAATGGCATTCTTTCAATGTGTTTTTATAGAAGTATATGTACACTTTTTGATCTACTTATAAATGAAAAACAAATACAATGTAATGATACATTGTTACACTGTATCAGTCAATGACATTTGCAGACTATCTGTAAGTGTCATTTTACAGAGGAGCGGCTTTTTATTTTGACAGCTGTTGATTGAACATTTCTAGGCCATATCTCTTACATGTAAGGTCCTCAAGCAGTTGTCGGGTGCAGGCACCTATATGTTGCTTTTAGTTTAAGAAGTTTAAAATAACCACAGGTTCGCTTCAAGGTGTAAAACAGAGGGTGATGGCATGGTTCAGGAATGAGGCCTGTCCCAATTTGTTATAATGTTCCTGTGAGTGGATATCAATTTATGTAAGGTATGTTAATGGTTATTATTTCCCATGTGCGATGACCTGTTTGTTTTTGTTGTTGTTACTCAGTGCTTTTATTAACAGTGAGTAAAAGGTTATCACAGGGATCCGATTAGAATTGATGTCAGCAGAATTACTAACAATTTTCTTTCCTTCTGACAGACAATAGTGACTGCAAACAACATAGTGCTAGCTACAGGAGGAAGGCCAAAATATCCTACAAATGTAAGAAAACTCTTTTATCCGTCCTAGAAAGCAAGCGTCACATTGAGCATTGCAACTATGACTGCTGCAAAGTCATTTTCACAAGAAGATAGAAGTGTAGCTCCCCGATTTGTTGATAACACTTGTATCTTTGTTTCCTGTTTGTTGCTTTGTACCTAGCATGCCCACATTAATTTTGCGTATCATGTGGGAGTTTGTAGCATATCCTTCCTTTATGGTTGTGGCAGCCAGAGATTTATGAGACAAAAGCATTGTTGTAAGGTGAAAAATTCAAATTTACAATTCTATCCAGCCACTGGTAAATGCAACCTAATTCAATTATTGGTGGATTGGTTCTCATGTGTCCCCACACATACCACAAATTCTGTATAATTCAGCCTACGCCTAGTAGAGATGATTATGCATTTGTTTCATTTGTGCATAAATTATATCTAAATGTAATAACGTAAAAGAAAGATTGCACAATATTTATTAGTTTTATGCAAACAAACTTCTAAAAAAAAAAGAAAACAAAATAATAACTATAAGGGTACGTTCACACCAGATGCAGCTAGTTCCTGCCCGATTCTGTCCGGAACGCACTGCATCACATTGCGGCAGGCTCACTTTTTTGTGGGGCAGGAGGGGGCGTGGCGGCCCATTGAAGTGAATGGCACCGTAGCAAC